ATGCGCACTACAAATCATTAGTGTTGTCCCCGATACGCGAGTGGTCACATTTAAGTTTGGAATTATTTTCCTGTTTTTTTTATAATTCTATTATTTTGACATTTGCCAACATTTCAATTCAGTTTACTTTCCTAATACGCCTAATGGCCCATCGTCGTGGCACACCTTGCATTCTGCTTATCAATATTGCCTACTTTGCCGGTTTATTGGAGGTGAGGGTAACTTGAATCATTTTTCTCCAAAGTTGGGTGAAAATAAAACACGAATTCTATACAAGGTACGAGTGAAATAACTATCATAACAGTTGCCAAACAAAACCTTTCATTACAGCATACTAGAGGAATAGATTTCAGAATGCATGAGCTATGTGGCTTAGTATTTCGAACGTTGGCACGGTGATGGTGGGGGAGCCAGTGACAGTTTTCTGGTACACATTTGCGCAAGGCAAATTTACAAATTTTTCGTTTTTCTTCTCTTGGGAAAGATGGAAATACTTTGCTACAGACGCACCAGCGATGGGGCGTGAGATGACGGTGTCTTAAGGTAGTTCACTCGCGACAGTCGTACATAAAAATATCGCTTAATGGTGAATACCAATAGTTCGAGATTCTCAATGCTAGTCAATTTTATTTTTGTAAGAGACTGTACAAAACACATGTAAGCTTATATATATGGATTTTAATAAAATCCATCCGGCAACCTCATAAATAAATGAATGGTTTGCTATAGAAATTTGTGACTTCCTCATATTAATTTTAAGGGTTTGTTTTGGTTCAAACAGAACCGCTGATTCCAGTTCTCAAATGCAGTGGACGAATTAATTTTTCAAGAAAACGTCGCGAGCTTATAACATCCTCTTAGCTGATCGAGTGTTACTTTGGTACAAGGCGTTGATTGCAGCGTATACAACGTTGCCAAGTTGTAATAATTTTACGCAACTACGCATCGATTGCTTTAAAAATATTTTTATTTTAAAAATCTATATCTTTTTACTAAGACGGTCAAAAAATTCAGCGTTTCTATAGAAAATTTTATAACTTCTTGATTTACATTACATTAGTTTTTAAAAAATATGGTAAAAACCGTTTTCGAGATATCTTGAAATAAATGCATTACTTGTGTACATGAGAGGCTTCAAGAGTGTTAATTATGCACATTTTGATTGTTAATATCTCGTTTCACAGACGGTCAAAAAATTTAATTTTTTTTTGTTACATAAAAGACACTTTTATTAACCTTATATTTCAATTTTATTGAATTCTTAAGAAAAGCCGTTTTACGAGTGAACTACCTTAAAAGGTCGTTGTAGAAAATTCTAATGTCACATATACAGTTCAACTTTGAGTTCGCGATCCGGGTTCAATCCCCGATAAATGCAATCTTTTTATTTTGTAAAAAATATTAAAAATTAAAAATACGACTGTTACTGTTTACTTATTTTAAATACATTTCATATATCATAATATAACCCCTACTGTTAGGCAATCGTTCTAGTAAAGCAGGTATCATCTTTATTAATAAAAAAGTTCAGAGTTGTTCATCGAGTGGGAAATGTCACTTTTACACAAGGAATGTGCAATATTTTTCCTACAACTATAAAATTTTCATTAAAAAAATTTTAAACTCGTAAATCAGGCTATGGAGTTTCAATCAAGATGTGGCTGATTCTAAGTTTGTTCTATTATATGCCTCATTGGTTTTAAATATAATGAAAATGTTTAACAGACCCCCTAAACTCTAATTTTCAATCAGATATTTTTTAGAATCAATAGGCATTATCCCTTTATATAGCTTGATTTTTTGAGAAGATTTTAATTTGATGTCGTTTTTTGTTTTTCAATATTTTCAATATTTCAACCCCCTTATCTCCCCATTTTTATTTATTTATTTATTCATCCCCTATAGAGCTTGATTTTTACTAAACATTTCATGCTGATATCGCTTTTGGTTTCTGATTTTTATTTTTTTATTTCAACCTCCTTTGACCCCCATTTTATACTGATTTTTTTAAAATCAATAGGCTTTATCCCCTTGTTTTTGGCCTTAAATTAAACAAACTGCAGATAGAAAATAAGATACTGCGCATAATCCCACTTCGAAATTATTTACACCGAGTAATCACAGTTGAGGACGTCACATGTCAGAGTGTTGTTCATCCAAAGTTAATTCAAATCAATTGTGTCAACGAGAATTAATTTGGTATTTTAGTGACTTAAATTTTGAAAATTAACGTTGAAAATGCCAAGATGTGTTGTAAAAAGCTGCATTTATATTAAAAGTGCGTTATATGACGCCGATAAAGGAAACTTACATTTATTTCGGTAAGTTATTTAATTTTTGGAGATTCTATCGACGGCCATATTTGTTTATTTGAAAATAAACAGAACCAGACTTGGTCATTTGTACATATTACAAGTTGCAAATTGAATGAAGGTTTTTTATTGTTTTATGGGGGATCATTTTTCAGGAAGTGGTAAGAGATACAATCAAATACAAAAATATCAATTTCATTACCAATTTATTCGTTTCGAACTCACAAACTAGTTTTAATAGTTTTCACAACTATTTATTCAGCATTTCTTTATAATAATATGGGATCGATCTATTTAATTTATATCTTGTTTAAAGGTTATTATTTATAAGTTACTTTTCTTTAATATAAATACTCTTAAAAAACTTACATGGGGGTTTTGGGTATTAATATTGTGGATGTTAAAAAAGGAGGACTATTCATTGCATCAGACATATATTTGAATTCATCAAAAAAATCAATCTGATGGGGTAGAAACTGTGAGGGGTACAATAACCCTAGAGCTTCAGTACGAGTGGGCTTTGAACCACGCCCTAATTCAGATAGATAGATTCATTGCATTATTTTTGAATTTAACGCCCGATACAAAACTGTTACCTAATGTAAAGTGTGGCACTTCATTTGAAAGCTAATTTTATTCGATAAAGTTTGTATTTCAAAACTTTTGAACTCTGCAATTATTTAAGTTCTTGTTTCATTCAATTATGTTTTGTTGTTGTTTATACGGCCCGACCGTGTTGTTACGTTGGGCGGGCCATATAAACAGTTATCGCTGATATTATTGTTTTCCTGCTCTCACTAATGCTACCTCTCTGTTGTTTTCACATGGGCTTGTGCCAAGCATATAATAGTAACTCAGTAAGCAACAATCAAAAGCGAGAATATAACTTATCTTCTATCACTTTTGCCTTTTAGTGTTAAAGTAATAAAGGTATTAGGTAGAGGTACAGGTAGAGGATACTCAAAAGAACAGTTATATTTACTTAGGTTGCACTGAAAATTCTGGAAATCGACTGGGTTCTAAGTTAAAAAAAAATATTTCACTAAAGTAAAGAGTTTCAACTTCTATTTGGATTATTATTGTTATTATTTTTGAATTAAAAACTTTTGAAGGCTATAATTTTTTCAAAAAGGTGGAAATAAAAAAGTTTTTTCTCATATTTTTAAGTCCATTTGAGGACACTCTGCATATGCGCGAGTCGTTATTCGTATTCGTTACGTCAGCTGTAGGACTCAGAAGTACTGAGTACTCTAAAACGTAAAGTACTGGAAAAATTTTGTGTACTGAGTATCATCTGGGTGACTGTACCAAAAACTGAGTACTTTGAATACTTAAATACAATTTTGAGGTACAATTTACTCGAGTACTGTTCAACTCTGCCGGCATTGTATGCTGCTTACTTTGAAAATATGTTAATCTAGACAGAGTGATTCGTACCTGTGCACGGTGAAACAAAAATACATTTTTAGTGACACTTCTCAATCATAGAAGTAAAATGTATTTACAAATATTACAAATTAAAAATTTAAAAAAACCGACTTCAAAAACGTGCAGATGCCATCACCACATCTTAACCAAATTTATATAAGACCACCCCTGAGGTACCCCCTTACTAACAAAAAAAGAATCGTATAAATCGGATAAGGTGGTAAAGCATTATCGCTAAACATACATAAAAAATGAAGAGTTTGAGGATTTTCTCATGAATACAATTATTAGATTTTAACCAAATTTATATGGGACCACCCCTAAAGTAGCCCCTTTCTAACAAAAAAAGAATTATTGAAATCGGACACCGTGTTAAAAAATTATCGCTGAACATACATAAAAAATGAAGAGTTTGAGGATTTTCTCATGGACCCAATTATTAGATTTTGGCTAAATTTATATGGGACCACCCCTGAAATACCCCCTTTCTAACAAAAAAGAATTATTGAAATCGGACACCGTGTTAAAGAATAATCGGTGAACATACATAAAAAAAAAAAAATATCGCGACGAATTGATAACCTCCTCCTTTTTTGAAGTCTGTTAAAAATAAATAACCAACGATAGTCGATTTTTTCTTTTAACAAAAAATATTGCCTTTATCGGAATTGAAACCGGCTCGCCAAATCAAAAGTTGAGCCCTTAACGACCTAAGTTAATTATATGATCAAATATGTGACGTTAGAATTTTCTACAATGGCTTTTTTAAGACCTCTTCATCGAGAGCTCCACAATTACGGGGGGGATATAGATATAAGAATGAACGAAAAACTGATAATGTTGACTTGCGCAAATAAAACATCTGAAAGTCTCACTGGCTCCTTTTCCATGGGATTATACTCCCTCTTTAATTTTCTATGTATTCACAAAAAATGTTTTAATAGTACGCCATGGAAAAAATTCGCAAGCTGAGCTAGCATACAATTATTATTCTTCTTTTTTAAATGATTGTTTTAATTTAATTCAGAGGCGTGCGTATTTATTACGAAAATGACTCGTATCTCTGTGTTGTTTATCGTAGCCTACTTTAAACACATTTTTTAGTATTGGTATCTCTAACTGACATAACTTTTTTGCTTTAACATACTAAGAAAACAGATCATGTTACCCCTCCTCTTCAAGAACCGAGTCGGTTACAAATATACCGTAAACTGTTACCTGTCATTGTATTGTAAATATATATTATATTTTTTTTTTCAGATTCCGTGGTATATATCGTTATCCCGGTGCTAGCCTGCTTTATTTTAGTGATAGTCATCGGCATCATATGCGTATTCAAGAGCAGAAGGAAAAACAGCATGGATCTTTCGCACTGTCACTATCAAACTGTCAATAATCACAACAACAACAACACTATCAAAAAAACCGATCAACTGCTTTGAAAAATTTGATTGATCGCCCTACAAAATTGGTTTGTGATATAAAAATAGGTGGTGTTATGTGAAAATGAAGAAAAAAGGCTTTGTGAAGCGCTTCGAGTAACTGTTCAAAAATAGTTGCACAGTGTACCTAACTGTTATGTTACTTTTAGTAACTGTTCCAAAGAGTTTTATTTAATAACTGTTCCATATACGGTTCATTGTTACATCGGGAATCGATTTTTTCGTAGAACAGTTACAAAATAAACTACGAACTAAATACTAAACCGCGACTGTTACAATGATATAATTCGAGGAGTTTAATTTATTTTTTTATAATAAGGAATGTTAAAAATATGATTATTGTATTTTTTTAAAAAAGAAGTATATTTGTTGAATTGTTATTGATTTGTTCCAAATACTAACAGAGTGTATATTTGTAAATTTTTTCGAACAAGTTTATTTTTTATAAGGAGTATTACCTACATGGTTTGATCTGGTAATTCTAATTGTATCTTTAGAATCAATTTAGGGTCTGCTTTAAGAGGTTTGATTATTTTTTGGAGCAAAAGTAACCTGGATATAATTATTTCTTCCTATTCCCTTTTATACTCAGTGATTTTATCCTGTGTCATGTGTCACAGATTACACCAGATGCGAAATATGGCAAAAGATCAAAAGAATTTCGAGTGAAAATTCTGTGACATTAAAACTTTAAATGGGTACGGCACAGGTATTGTCAATGTCAATTATTCTAGCTGAACATTGCTGCCTTGTAAATATTTTTTAGTTGACAAGATTGAACGATTTAATACATGCGAATACAAAGTTTTATGAGGAAATGAAATTAAAAATAAAAGCGTTTTGTGCGTAAATAATATACGACGCCCATGGTGAGAGTATATGATTTACCTTCTAGATTTCGGATCGATTGCGCCGAAGTGAAAATAACGACGCCTAGCAGGTATCTTCGTAGCTATTTAGGTGTTAATTTACAATAAATAGTTTAATGTAGTAGCAATTGGTTTTTTGAAAAGTTGTTCATTTTTAAACATGGTAGGTATGTTTTATGACAAAGTTTTAGAACATTTAAAAAAAAAAGAAATAAATAAATAAATGAACAGGCTTGAATGGTGTTTAAAAGAGAGGGAACATGATGTGTATTATTTTTAAATAAATTGTATAAAAATGTATAATAATCAATATATATTATTGTAACAGGTAAAAAATTTGTAATTTGAAACAAAGTTTTTTTTATGTTTCCGAATATTCCTGGTCAACAAATTCAAACTCTCACACGCCCATTCTATGCTTACCTACATAAAAGGTTAAATTAATCATCTTCACGTAGACAAACAAGTATTAAAAAACAATTTATCTAATTTAGTATGCAAAATAATGATTTAAAAAATATTTTGAAGATTACGCAAAATAAAAAGCTTTCATATTTATATATTTTTTTTTTTTTTTGATTGATTGCTAAAACCTCTACACAACATGACACTAATATAGAGAAAATTAAAAATACACAACGCAAATTAAACCCTCCAGTCCTGAATATCACAGAAAAGTAATCGGGACTTAGTCAAACGGAGATGTCAATAAAAAATTTAAAATTGTACCAACCATTTGAGTTATTATGATCTCTCAACGTAAAGTATGAAAAAATCTCCAATAAACAAAAACATTTTTAAAAAACCTGAAATGCGTCGATTTCTAAATTTAATTTTCTACATTTAATTTTCTTAATTGTAAAAAAAATCATTATATAGGATGACCCACATTAATTTAATGACGTCATCTGCATTTTTTTAAATACAATACCCCGTATTTGGCGACTTTTTAAATTATTCTTAACAAGCTGATTTTGATAAAGAATGATACTTATAGTCTAATGAAGAGTGAGTTTGAAAATAAATTTTAATAATTTGAATTATTAATTTAAACAATTAAAAGTAAACCAGTGTTACACGTTGAATAAATGCTTGTTAAATCTTGTTCAATCTCCAAAACTATTGTTTATTTCTCTTACGATTCTCTATTTTTATTCTTCAATATTTTTTTCTCGTTTTATTTTGTAAATAACATTCTTCAAATGGCCCTACATAAAATAATCCATAGGATTTAGATCTGGTGACCTCGCCGGCCATTCAACATCTACCAATCAATTATTTTCGATAATTTTCGATAATTTTTGATAATTTTCGATAATTTTCGATAATTTTCGATAATTTTCGATAATTTTCGATAATTTTCGATAATTTTCGATAATTTTCGATAATTTTCGATAATTTTCGATAATTTTCGATAATTTTCGATAATTTTCGATAATTTTCGATAATTTTCGATAATTTTCGATAATTTTCGATAATTTTCGATAATTTTCGATAATTTTCGATAATTTTCGATAATTTTCGATAATTTTCGATAATTTTCGATAATTTTCGATAATTTTCGATAATTTTCGATAATTTTCGATAATTTTCGATAATTTTCGATAATTTTCGATAATTTTCGATAAGTTTCGATAAGTTTCGATAATTTTCGATAATTTTGGATAATTTTCGATAATTTTCGATAATTTTCGATAATTTTCGATAATTTTCGATAATTTTCGATAATTTTCGTTTATTTTCGTTTATTTTCGTTTATTTTCGATTATTTTCGATTATTTTCGATTATTTTCGATTATTTTCGATTATTTTAGATTATTTTCGATTATTTTCGATTATTTTCGATTATTTTCGATTATTTTCGATTATTTTCGATTATTTTCGATTATTTTCGATTATTTTCGATTATTTTCGATTATTTTCGATTATTTTCGATTATTTTCGATTATTTTCGATTATTTTCGATTATTTTCGATTATTTTCGATTATTTTCGATTATTTTCGATTATTTTCGATTATTTTCGATTATTTTCGATTATTTTCGATTATTTTCGATTATTTTCGATTATTTTCGATTATTTTCGATTATTTTCGATTATTTTCGATTATTTTCGATTATTTTCGATTATTTTCGATTATTTTCGATTATTTTCGATTATTTTCGATTATTTTCGATTATTTTCGATTATTTTCGATTATTTTCGATTATTTTCCATTATTTTCGATTATTTTTGATTATTTTCGATTATTTTCGATTATTTTCGATTATTTTCGATTATTTTCGATTATTTTCGATTATTTTCGATTATTTTCGATTATTTTCGATTATTTTCGATTATTTTCGATTATTTTCGATTATTTTCGATTACTTTCGATTATTTTCGATTATTTTCGATTATTTTCGATAATTTTTGATTATTTTCGAATATTTTCGATTATTATCGATTATTTTCAATTAATCGGATAATCGAAATTTGTCTTTTGATTCGAATTATCGACATCAAAAAAAATTGCTTATTCAAAAAGTTGACTAATCGATTATCAATATAAATAATAATATTTAATAATATTGGCGAATTCTCCATCAAATTACCTTTTCAATGATGTGTCATCCTTAGGGGTGGGCAAAATAATCGATTATTTTCGATTAATCGATCATTTTAGATAAATCGATTATTTTTGATTAACCGATTATTTTCGATTAATCGATTATTTCTAGTAATCGATTATTTGATAATTAACTATTTATTTTGATAATCGCCTTGCCCTAGTCCTGAATTTTACTAACCAGTATAATACGTATTGCGACACTCGAATGACACCACCGTCTATATAATTTAAAAATTTCTCAAATACTGGTTATTGTATTTATTAAAATTGCCGATGGAGTCATTATATTAATGAGGACCGCCCTGTATAATTTCTTTTTTTTTAAATTAATATAAGAATGTTTTTTTGAAAATGTTTTTTGATTTTGGAAATAATGAACTTGTTCCATATAATTTACGGATTCACTGTATTATTGATTTTTTTCTACTCCCATGTCAGTAAACGTTAAAAATCGCACTGTCAAGATTCCTTGTTAATGACATTTATCAATAACATGCACGTAATGAGATCTCATAACATACCTACACGTGCATTTTGATAAGAAAACTTAATTTTTTTAGTTTAATCAAATTGCAATCAAATTGTTATCTACGTTCGACGTTATTTGGTCTATTTACATAAATTTAGTCAATTGGAAAACGTAAAAACTTTTAGAATTAGCGAGATACATTTTGGATTAAATAAATGATGCCCCTAAATGTCGGCAACACATAAAATTTTTCAAAAAAATTTGTCGTGTTTTCTTAGCATGCTATGGAAATAAACGTCTTATCATTTATATTGTCAATTTTTGTAACAAAATATTGTATTCGAACATTTTCTCAACTTTACCTACGAATATATCTGTTAGTAGTGAAAGTGATGAAATTATGAGCACTCCACCAGAGATTTTAGAAAAAGCTCAAGCTGTCACACATAATTTGTTACCGCTAAAATCCAAAAAAAGGTACGAAATTACCTATCGAAAATTATGGATTAGCGACACAAGCATATGTCCTTTATTTAATACAAGAAAATAAGTGGGCTTAGAAAAAGTATAGTACGTTACACGAGTTGTAAGCCCATTACGCACTCGTAAACTTTTTCAGTTCGTGCGTAATGGGTTACTTATAACTCTTGTTACGTAATATACTATTTCATGTTTAGCAATTTTATATAGTCATTTGTATGTAACGCATAAAATAATAATGATGGGTCTTTTACGGAAATAGCTATTTGTGTATTAAGAGCGAAAAGTGATACTTTGCCGCTTGAGACAGAAAGTTGGCTACGTACTTTTTGCTCATAATGCACTCAAGATTTTTTTCTATGATCACATTATTTTAAGAAATAGATATAAAAACTGAATATTTGTCGTAATTAGTGTATAATGTGTTGCCTATATCTACGTTAATAATAAAAAAGAGTTGATTTTCAAAATCAATTTTAACTTGGATAATAAAATTAAAAAGTGTCAAAATACGTACAAATAACTTGAAAATAATTTATTAAAAAGAAATATTGTACTATATCTAATTTAAATTGGATAGGGGTTGTAGAAAAAGTAATTTTTGGACATTTCCGATGGACATATAGTAAATGTAGTCAACCTTGAAAAAAGGATATAATGGTGGTGTAAAGTAGTCAGACTCATAAGACAAAACTCAGTTTTTTTTTGCTTTCCAAAAATGCAGTTTTTAGACATACATTTTGCACTTTGAGTGACGATGTATTTGTAAAATGCAATTCCAGAATTACAGATAAACTTTTATCAAATTTTAAACAACAATAATAATAATATTAATTGTGTATGTGTATATTCTTACGAGTAGGACTACTAAGTAATACCGGGCCTTCAGCCAATAATTGGTTGTCCTTTTTATTTTTTGTTTCAAAGTATACTCCAATGAGATGACTTTTTTACATTGTATTTTTCCAATACACTTTGATTATAAATGTTAGTTTTAATTTATTTATCTATACTCGTAAGAGGTTAAATCAAAATCTTTTATTTTATTGAATTCATTAAATAAAAAAAAAAATAGGGAGATGGGTGTTAGATTCTGAACCTTAGAATCCAAGAGTTCCTAGTTCGAATCCCACCGTTAGCCGAGTTCTCAAAGTAGTGTTGGATGTCTGTAGCGACCCTTCACTAAAAAATAATTCTTAATTTCTTATTTGATGTTAAATTATATAACTACTATAAACCTACTGTAAACCTAAGAGCATCGACATAAAGAACCAATTTTTGCTTTCTGGAGCCATTCGAATGGAAACAAGTTTTTACGAAGGACCTTTAAATCGGTATGACCATTCATCTTTCTCTTTTTTTTTTTTTGTCAACTTTCGCATCTGGTGTGGATAATATGTAATGGGATATTTTTTATGTGGTCGTTTAATAAACATTATTTATTTCAAAAATCTAAATTTCGGGTTAGAAAAAATCTGAAAAAATTATTAGATCAAAACTTTTTTTTTTAAACAGTAATCAAACTTATTAAGTATTTATTTTATTCTGCTATGCTATCGATAACAACTTCAAATATTAACATTATTTTCTATTTACTAACCGACTATAATTGATAAAAATCCATAATTTTCATGTTTTACACTGGGTATGCAGGGTATTGAATTACATATTATATTGAAAGAACATTGAAGAGAACTGGTAGGTTTAATAAGGCATTTTGTAAGTCCTTGAGAGTAAGGTTGAAATGAAAATATTTTGTAGAATGTAGAATTAGGCTTTATAATAAAATTTTGATTGATTTTTTTGCTTGCCTCGCCAAAATCTTTATTTCTTAAAAAAAAAATAGATTCAAAACTTTATTATACGGTATTGATTACAAAAAAACTAATGTAGCTAGATCTGGACTGTATGAAGGACGTGATAAATTATCCTATGACATAGTTGTTAATCATATTTAGCTTTGTATCTGCTTTATTTAGGCGTTATCGAAATATTTAGGACCAAAAAGCTTATTTTTCCTTACCAATTTTTCCATCACTTGTAAATATCACATCCAAATATTCGTGTTTTATCATTTTCCATTTATTGTTCCTTTGATACGAGGGCAATGATTTCTTTCTTAAATAAACTGCTCACGGAATTAGTCGGTACAGCTAATTTTATCGTATTTTGTAGGAGACTTTATCTCGGAAATGTCTTAGCCGATTTTTAAAAATGAAGAAGATTCTGAAAGTTTAATATTTCTTGTATCATTGGCTTTATGTGATCTTTAGAGAAAAATAATTTTTTAGTGTTGTACAGGGTGTGAAAGAATACAATGTAAAAATGTAAATTTTTAACTGTCTGTACCTGTTGCAATAGTAATTTCAGAACTTTCATCGTAATCACATTTAGAAGTTTTGGTCGATATCTCGGGATGTATTTGACAGATTTGTATTATTTTGTTTAGAAAAAAAGTTACAGGGTATTTTCAAAAAAGTCCGCATTCTTAAAAATTACTATTTTAGTTTAAATAAGTTTATTTTACTTCACTAGAATGGCACGAAACACAAATTTGAAAAAGCTAACCTATCCTTAGCATATCGGGTGTCCCTAAATTCCCGGGACAAGCCAATATTTCAAAAAACAGCTTACAGTTAAATTAAAATAAAAAACAAAAACAATATTAACTAAAAATTTAGTATCGAGTAGGCCCACCTCGTACTCGCAAAAG